TTTAATCCTTCTTTATCTTCAATCTTTCTCCTCATGTTTTTAGTTTTTATAAAATTCATTGGAAAATGATTTTATTCTTTTGTAATGGCATCTTATTTTATGATGTCTGAAATGTCTGTTAGCAATTTTTGTTACTATAACCAGAAATACAGCACTCATTGGCTTACTGGTTTATTTATCATGTTTTTGCCAACTTTACATATTAATTATATCAATCTAATTTACACATCTGTTATGTGAATATATGAATTATCAATTTTGATGTAAATAGTTATTTCATTGTAAATAATCAGACTTTGCTTCTTCTTTCCAACTTCAATTTTTTTTTAATTGGCTTATTCAGAGTTTTATATCCAATATGGAGTGGAAGTTACCATGATTGATCTCTATATATTCCCACTTTAGGAAAAGAGAGTTCAAATTCATTCTTAAATGTGAAGTTACTGTAACATTTTCATCCTTACCCTCCAATTAATGTATTTTCATCACTTTTTAGTTTTGTAATGTTTTTACAAGTTTGATGTTACATGTACTCATTTTGCCACAATTAAAATCAGAATATTTTTACTTTGTGAAATGTTTATGAATAAACAATGTTTATTTCTTTCAAATCTAAGCTACCTTGCCTTTTTGAAATAAAACTTTACCAATAATTCTGTGTATTTTATCATGTATATTTTTCATTTAGACCATCATAATTTTCTTTTATATTCACAAAAAGATCATTCTTTGTTTTTTTTTTATTATTTTCAGTTTTTTTTACTTATTTTTCCAGAACTGGTGTACAGGCCAGACGAGCTGTGGTGGTGAGAGAATTTACCAGAAACAGAGAGGGGAGCATAACAGGCAATCGATGAAGTATACTGCTGAGGGAGCAGTGAGTTGGCCAGGAGAGGTCTGCTGCTTCATGTGGGTCCCTCTGAGGCAGGCGGGGATCAAACTCCTGAGGAAGCCGCTTTAGCTTAGCTTCTCAGTGTTGTGCTTAAACCCGCTGGGCCACCAGGGAGGGCCCGATCATTCTGTTTTGATTCACACTTTACATTTGACAGTTTGGGATCAAGGCTATATGAAAAAGCAGTATTGTTTTCCTACTACCTGTCAGCTTTTGTGAATAACACTGTGTTATTTCACTTTTGATAACACCTGAACATACAAACCTGTTTTTGAGGAAGTTTTATGTAAGAACACAATAACTATAACATTTTGGAGTTTCCTAAGGACAACTAGTTTCTGTGCATATTTTTGAAAATGTGCTCATAATACAGCTTATTATCTGGTGGACCTATTAAAAACAAAAATGCTTTTCTCATGCTTGATTGTGTTCTTCAGTAGTGTAGTTGTTGTTATTAAGTTTTTACAATGAGAATACACTTTCTTTGTTCATGTTCTTTAAGAGTTTTGTTCTTTGTCATTAGTGTGTGCCTTGTATTTTTTTTCTCCCATTTTTATTTATTTATTCTAAATTTTATTTTAATTATGCATACAGAACTAGAGTACAGGCCAGAGGTGCAGGGGCAGTGAGAGTCTTCACCAGAGACAGAGTGGGGAGCAAAACAGGCAGATCAACGAAGTGCACTGCTGAGGGGAGCATTGGGC